GGGGGAGCTGGGGGATTTGCAGTAAATTTTTAAAAAAATTGCTGAAGCCTGTTCCCCTTTCATGTCCCTTCTATCAAGTTAACAAGGAAACAGCTTTGCTGAAAATAAAAAGTTTGACCCCTCTCCCCATTGCCTCCCTCCACTTTCCCCTTATTATTTTATTTTTTTGGAAAAATCGCAGTCACATCTTTTTATGTACATTAATTTGTGTATGTTAAAGGATATTACTCTTACAGGGTCCCACAGCTTTCTCTCGGAAACCTTGCAGATGACAACAACAAGGTACAGTAAGCTTGTGCTTCTTAACAATCATATGATATAAGTATCATGTAGTTAACTATGATATATATTTAAGGAATATAAAATGTGCGCACATGTCTATGTACTGCTTTAGAGCACAAGAGAAACTAGGTATTTTTTTAAAGGAATATAAAATGTCTGCTTATGTCTCTGTACTGTGTTATAACCACTCTGGGAGCTGTAGAGCACTTTAGAGAAACAATTGGTTTTGCCTCGTGTTCCTAAGCTTGCTTTGGTTGTGCTTTAAAGCTCTCAACATGCTTATATTACTGACAGTACAGAGACATGCATGCATTTTACATTTCTTGAATATAGCATAGAGTATGACTTCATGTGACCTGGCACCACAATTAGCACTATCTTGCATTGTGTGGACAACATAGTTTAAATCAATCACATTGTGCAAGAGCATAGCTCAATCAGCCAATCAATATACTTGTATACTGCACTGTCATGCTGTACAATGCATTCCCCCCCCCCCCCACAGAGAATGTTTTTAAGATCTCCCTTCCCTTCCCCCCAGAAATAAAATTTTTCTTCATACGAACTCTGTAATTTTTGTTCTTTCTCTCCCCTGTGGGGTTGACCAGTATGCATAATTTCTGGAACTACACATTAAATTTTTTTTTTCTCTGACTTTATACCAGGTTGCGCAGCCCTTGAGTCCTGAGCCACCTCATTACCACACACCTGATACAGCCAACAGCAATGTCAGGTAATAAAGTGTTCAGACTTTATATTCATATATTTTGTAAATACTCAGAAATATCATAAATAAATATAAATATAATATTTAACACTTATTGACTGGGACCGAGAGAAACAGTAACAACCTTAAATCTAAACTTGCATTCTTGCTGTGTGTTTTGTGGTCCCAAGATGGTGATGTTTCATAATGCAAAGCCAAACACTGCTTTCCCGATGTTCCTGTCAATAAGTGTTTTGTAAATTTTGTATACCAAATGTCAAAGAAAACAAAAAATTATTCAATTATTTGATTATTTGATTTTGTAAAACTTCGAAAAACTTACGTTTAAATCACTTCCGGTACAGTTATTACCGGTCAACTACACATTGTTGCCCGCTGAGATCCGTTTCCAGGGAAACATCGAAACTTGTTCACGTTCACGGGATATCCTTTTGCCCAATCAGAGTACAAAAAAAACGGACTTTGACATAATAATATAACAATCATTTTTGTTATGATGTAGTTGGGGAACACCAGTGCATACAAAGCCTTTTGGAGTTGGAGGAAACTCAAAACCAAGAGAGCCAAGGTTTCCGGTACAGTACATGGGCTAAATAAACAATTGAATTTAATAATAAAATAACTAGATATAACCAGCTAAAAACTAGTGTGAGCTGCGTCGGTGTTTCTAATGAAACAGTAATGATGAAAAGGTAAATTATACACTTTTCACGGTGTATAATTGACCTTTTCATCAATAAAATAACTACATAATTATTGTATCATTCATCATTGTCATCATCTTCATAATTTTATCATTCGTAGTCACTGTCAATAATTGTCATCATTTCCACCACCACCACCACCACCATGACATCATGATTATCATCATCATCATGATGACATTATCACTGGTATATCACCAAGCTTCCATCATCATTCATGACTCACTGTAATTATCATTTATCAGCATCATATTAACATTATTATTACCATTCCAGAGTGTAGAAATTTGTGCATTGCTATGATAAACATACTGTAATAGTCTTTACCATCATATTTTGTCACCAAAAATTTCTTTACTAAATCTTTATCATCATTCAATATCATCATCACCACCATTATCACTAACAGCACCAGATCCAGGGTCATTCAGCTTAGTATATTATTCATTGACAATTGATAAATCATAATTATCATTTAATATTAAAAAGCGATTATTTGATATTTTAAAGACAACTCACCACCATCATCAAGTGTCATTCAGCTTAATACATTATTCAATTAATTAATAAATTGTGATTTAATATTTCAATTTTCTTTTTTATAACAACTTAGCCTTGTAACTGTTCCTTTTATTTCTTGAAGGAGGAGAGACAAAGGAATGTTCCTGAGAAAATGTCCCAAGCACCAGTATCTAAGAGACCTGCAGGGATGCCAGCCCTTGATCTGCAGGGTTCACAAGATGATGAACATGCCTTCAGGGTTAGTAATGAAACCTTGTTCACAATTTGTTCTTCTAACTTCTCTCTATTATAATACTTGGAACATTAGTCTCTTGACCCTTGAAAGAGAAATGTATTGACAAACATGAATCACTACTTCCTTATTTTTAAGACAAAATGATTCATGGAAGCCATGCATTTAATAAAGTAAATATTTTTCGTAGTTCTTGACTAATTTTTTGATTTTTAATGATAAGGCTGCCAGGGATGGCTATAACGTTGTTGGGCAGCAAGCAAGGTAAAGTTCTATTAATGAATGAGTGTTACTTTAATTTACTTTTAATAAGTCTAATTAAATTTTAGAATTAAAATTACAGAGAAATTAAGATAGACAGAACTTATTTTTGTTGTTGTTGCCGTTGCCTTGTTGTTGTCGCCATTATTTAGTTGTCGTTGCCATTGTCTTTGTTGTTGTTATTATATTGAATGTGTAGTTCCAGAAATCATCCATACCCACCCCACAGAGGAATTTGGAATTTCCAAAGAGTAGGGAGGGTCAGAGAAAGAACAAAAATTACAGAGTTTGTATGGAAGAAAATTGGGACTTCCGGGGATGGGGGGGGGGGGGTGTCTTAAAAAAATTCCTCTGTGAGGGGGGTATGGATAATTTTTGGAACTACACATTGTATTATTATTATAATAATAAATAATTTACTCATAAATTGAAAGTTGTTTTCCTGTTATCAGCGATCCATTTAGTGGGACTCAGAAACCATGGAACACAGAACCTAAAAATGAACATCAATACATGAAACAAAGAGCTAGAGATGAACAGGTATTGAAGAGATTGTAAATACAAATGGTTTGGGAAATATAGATGGAAGGAAAAATGCAATGAAATGTCACAAAATGGGAGTGTATGGGATAAAGAAAGAACCAACATCAAATACAGGCTTGGGCAAAAATAAAGAAAGAGGAGAATAAAATAATGAAAAGCCTGAATAATGAGAAAAATAGTGAAAGAATGGAAATAATGATAAATTCATTCGAAAAATTGAAGTAATAATCAAAAGTATTCTTTACCTACAGGAAAAACTCTACTCTAATAAGAAAAAGGATTATGTTGTGGAGACAGTTCTGGTGGATCAGCTATCTAGGTAAGATTGAACAAACAGGCAGACATAATTGTTTCATGTACATTTCAAAGAGTCTCTTAATAAATTGGCATTGCGTAGTTCCAAAAATTATCCATACCTGCCCTTCTCCACAGGGGAATTTGGAATTTCTGAGGGGTGGGAGGACCGACTCAGAGAAAGAACAAAAGTACACTGACATAATTAGTATGAAAGAAAATTGAAATTTCATGGGGTGCCTGGGGGGGGGAAGGGAGCTTTAAAAAAATTCCCCTGTGGGGGTGGGGGGTGGCAGGGGCATGGATAATTTATGGGACTTCCATTACTTGAAGAACAGATGCCATCAGAAGGATGATGTACATTATTTGTGTTGAAGCTAAATCATTTACCATGATTATATAAAGAATTTGCCAACATCCTTTGAACCAATCACAGCACGTCTCGCATAAAATGCTCTAGTTGACACACACTACCTGCACCTTAGCAGTCATGTTATAGCATATCAGGTTTGTAGGTGAGAGGTGATTTTCTAAGATATCAGTCAACAGGATAATCCAATATTTGGTTATTGTTTCAGAGCTGCTATCTCAGACCCAGAGGCTGTTGGTCCTGAACAATATGCTATTAACCTTGGACCTAAAGAACGGAAAAAGAAGGAGTTTTACAACACAAGGTTGGCAGTTACTGATATCCTAATATTATGTGCCTTGTCAGTGATAAAAGGGATATAACATATACTAGGATATACTAGAAACAATGAAGTAGAGAGACTTTAACATTGCCTACTTTTCAGTAAGCTACAGTAGGTCCAATGTTCACGACTAACTTTATAACTATGACTAACTCCATTGGAAAATATTACACAGGCAACCCGACATATTGTTTATTGTTACTCTCTTACTAGGTAACAACTTCTTGATCAGACTAAAAGATAGATTTTCATACAAACATTCAAATGCATGGTAGTTATATAAATTGTATGCTAATTAATGTATAACACTCAATTCAAAAAACGATGTCAGTCGGAGATTGCCCATTCCAGCTGTCTCTCCCACAACAATTTTTGAAATAAATGTGGTAATTGTAGCATTAGGCACCTTTTCTTAATTCAGTTTACTATACGACACCCCTAATTTCGCGAGTATTACCACCATTTTTCAAGTGCAATTACAGGTTTTGAAGTTAATTTTTTTGGTGATGTCAGGGAGACAAAATTGATGTACAATTATGAGCTATTTATTACACTTCTAGTTGTGAATTATAGCTGGATAATTTTACTCCTTAAGCTTTATTTTATCTCGCCCCTACAGGCTGGAAAAAAATATGGCTGCTCTCATGAAAGTCAAAATTAAATTTTAACTGAAAGTGTAATATCCTCTAATAATTATTAATATGTTAGTTATTTATTTTTTACTAGGGCCATCCAATCACCAGGGAAGTCAGAGAATCTTCTTGCTAAAAGAGTACGCTTTGGTGCAAGGCTTTTGACCAAGAATGGCCATGACATTCATAGAGAGTTGAACGGCTTTTATTTCCTGGCTGATAACACTTTGACTGTGTATGAATTCAGACAGTTTGGAACCAGGTTTGTTGTGTTTGTATATGTCCATACTGATCCACGCCTTCCCTCCCTCTACAAATATGGTGTTAAAATCTCCCCCTACTAAAGAAGTTGTATTAATTAAGTACTGTCCCCTCTCTCTGTTTGAATTTTACCCCTGGGTTCCTAAAGATGTCTGCATGAACACCCCCAGCCCTCCCTGCTTTGAAATGCGAATTTCTTCCTTTGGAAGTACAGTGTTCTATATGCTGTCAATATTTTCCAGGAAATGACTAAGTATTAGGTCTGGAGTTGATTAAGTTAATATTACTTTATAATAAAAAAACTTGTGTTTTTGAATAGGTCATCAGCTCTACCTTTTATCCAGAGGGGAACATATGCACACATTTATGGACAGAAAAAAGGACAGCCTTATAACCTACGAGATATTGCTGTGGTAAGCAAGCAAATAGTGAACCAATTAGGCTGATCATTTTGTAGGGGAGCATGTACCACCGTGTACAAACAATTATATGGGCCACATGCAGCAACCATGTTTATTCTCATGTTTAACGCAGGTACATATTAAATATATTTTCAAGCACTTGAATGCAAGGTTATGCTTAGGGGAATGGTGACCAGGGGAATAGATGATCTGTTGTTTCAGCTAATGTGGCTGTCGTAAGAATAAGGCCCATTGTCTGAGTAATGTACTTTATGATATAAAAGAGTATACAGGGGCCGATTTTAGACTGAGGTTTGAATCAACCCTGGCTGACTTTTGTGAAGAATTCTCACACCGATTTCACGGAAATTGCATTAGTTTGCTACCCTAAGTCATTTTGTCTAAGATGTATGTATGCCAAGATTGTTTCATACTCCCTTTAACATTTCCTAGAGCCACCATTGCATTGGATGACTATACTGTATGACTGACAGTTAGTGACAAATTCTCTATCCACTCTAGGGTAGTACTCTCTCATTCCACACATCCAGTCAGAATCCCTTGCCCCAAAGTGTTAATATGAAGCCAGTCATGTCACTGAGGATCACAGAAGTGGATGAAGAATCCAAGAAACGCTTGATGTAAGTATTTCTCTCTCTCTTTGTGGATTGCATCTCAGGGATGTATCCAGGGGAGGGGTGCAGGGGGTGCGCACCCCTCCCTGGTTCCACTTTGTGAATACTACGAAAATAATCAATACTGTTTTTTGCCTTTGATTCTGAGGGATGCACCCCTCCCTGAATTAACTTTGTGCGCAGCACTCCTCCCTAAACAAAATCCTGGATCCGCTCCTGCATCTCATCCTATAAAGAGTGATGGCAAACGACAAGTTGACAAGTTTTCTCAATTCATCACAGTTTGAGCAACTCCCTCATTATGTTCTTTACCCACATGTAGAAATGGGAGACATATTGGATGGAGGTTGACAATACCTTGCAGGCCTTGTTTTTTTAGAATATACATCATGCATAGATCAACACATCTAATAGATCATTGCTACATAGGCTCAGTCTTCAGCCGTCTGGATTTCGTGTGCCCACGATTAACTCTCCCCCGTGAGAGAATATCGCGGGGAAAGTATCGCGGGTGCACAAAACCCAGATGGATGGAGACTGAGCCTAATTGCTACATTGCTTTTATAAAACAGAGTAACCAGACAAATATTTGTTGACTAAATGTAAATAAAAATATGAATTTATAGATTAATGATATCAAATTATTAATTTATTCTGCAGATATGAGGGTTGTCGATCTATAGATGAGCAAAGAAGAATTAGTGATAAACTTAATCAGCCTCCATCGAAGCAAGAGATAAGAGAGAGACAAATGTTAGAAAGTGTACAAGGTAGGTATGACTCACTGCCAGTCTTGAAAATATGTAAAGTCTTTAATATTTCTTTCATCTTATCAATACATCTTGTATCCATCCATCCGTCCGTCCATCCATCCATCCATCCATCCATCCATCCATCCATCCATCCATCCATCCATCCATCCATCCATCCATCCATCCATCCATCCATCCATCCATCCATCCATCCCTCCCTCCCTCCCTCCCTCCCTCCCTCCCTCCCTCCCTCCCTCCACATTATTTTTTTGAAAGATTTCATCTTATGATTTGTAATATGTCTTTGTGTTTCAGGAGAAGTAAAGAAGCAGCTTAAAGCTAGAGCAGTCAAGACCTTGATGGGATTGGGAAAACATTTTAGACAACTTGACCAATCAGGAGATGGCATGCTGGACAAACAAGAATTGCTGGCGGCATTAAAAACTTACCGCATACAGATACCCCAACAGGTTAGTAAGTAACCATGACTATATGTACATCTTAATATTGTGCAGCTATAACTATTTAGTATAAATACACAGGTAATTATTGAAAATCTCACGCGCTGATTGGTCGAGAAACTCAGATTATCACACGATAATCACCTCCAGGGATAATCCAAAATGGCAGCCAGCCGCTTTGTGGCTGTCACCTAATTTTAAATGTGTCTTTAATTTTTTATTTATTATTATTATTTTTTTTGAAAGAATCACCTTTGTATTTATACAAAGACAATTATTCACCTCAGGCTCATTGAATATCGGGAATAATAACCTCCACTCAGATTATCTGCCACAGGCCAGGCTAGCCAACAAGTGTAAGATATTAAAATATTTTGTTCTAGGTTTTTGAGAATTTATGGCATTTACTTGATGTGAATGGTGATGGGGCACTAGATTATGGTGAATTTGTAAGAGGCTTTATTGGTGAAATGAATGAATCTAGGAAGGCTTTTGTCAGGAAGGTGAGATGATTATATACTAGAATAATTTCTGTTTTTGATTCCATCCACTTTACACTCCACTTCCATCCACTTTACACACCACTTCCATCCACTTTACATTCCACTTCCATCCACTTTACACACCACTTCCATCCACTTTACATTCCACTTCCATCCACTATACACACCACTTCCATCCACTTTACACACCACTGCCATCCACTTTACACACCACTTCCATCCACTTTACACACCACTGCCATCCACTTTACACACCACTTCCATCCACTTTACACTCCACTTCCATCCACTTTACACTCCACTTCCATCCACTTTACACACCACTTCCATCCACTTTACACACCACTTCCATCCACTTTACACACCACTTCCATCCACTTTACACACCACTTCCATCCACTTTACATACCACTTCCATCCACCTTACACACCACTTCCATCCACTTTACACACCACTTCCATCCACTTTACACTCCACTTCCGTCCACTTTACACTCCACTTCCATCCACTTTACACACCACTTTCATTCACTTTACACACCACTGCCATCCACTTTACACACCACTTTCATTCACTTTACACACCACTTCCATCTTCTTTACAGTCTTTAAGCAAGACCACTAAGTGACATGTTTTTCAAGCTATTACATAATCATAATTTATTTGTACTTTGTTTGGCAGGTATTTCACAGGCTGGATCCAAACAAATCTGGTGTGGTTGAATTGAACACCATCAAGAAATTTTTCACTGCCAAGAACCATCCCAGAGTTGTATCTGGTAAATGAAACATTTAAACTTTTTAGTTTTAATTTGCCAAGTAATACATGAAAGTGCCTTCGATCTCCTAGGAAGTCTGTTGTCTAAATGCTGCCCCCACTCAAAAAAGAAAAAAAAAATTTCCCCCACCTAAAAATACCAATAACATACTGATTACTTTTTGTTCATTTCCAATTATTTTTATATTTAGGTGAATTGAAAGAAACCGAGGTTGCTTCTGCTTTCCTTGATTCTTTCACCAACTGCGAACACAAGGGAGAAGTAACATATGCAGTAAGTTTCTTTGAAGTGTTCGGGGGGGGGGGGGTACTCCCACATATGGACTATACAGGGATGATCTGCTGAACAGGGTATGGTTTTTCGAGCTTCTTATCATAAACAGGGTATGCAATTTCACTCAAGTTCCAAGTTCTTCCTGAGTTTCCTGTCATATTCAGGGATTCTACTTTCGTATTGACCGAAACTGGTCGTTATGGTCCTAAAAAAACAATACGCGAGATGACATGATCATTGAAACGGGAACTCAGTGCAATTAGTTATATCTTTTGTCATAAACAGGGTCTACGAATTTGGGTTTTTTTGTCATAAACAGGGTATCCCTTTCAGAATCCCAGCGGAACACCCCTACCCAAATTCAGGCCGAGTACCCCCCCCTCCCTGGGGAATCTTGTGTTATCCCTAACTCATGAAGATTAGAAAGTCACATTGTACTAAGATTATTTTCGTCATTCATTCAACTTCTAGGAGTTTGAAGACTATTATGAAGGTGTTAGCATAGTGATGGACAGTGATAAGGAGTTCATAGCCATGATGAAAAACTGCTGGGGATGTTGAAAACTTAATATCCATAATTTATTTCAAAATGAGAGGCTTTTAAAATATGAAATTCTCTGCAGGAACTCCCACCACGGTTGTTTCCAATTTAACTACGGGCTACTTTTTCTGTTATATGAAAAAATTATCATTAATCTATATATTATTTATCATTAAATAGCAGCTGGCAGCTGTTTGAAGCATTGGCATCGTAGACCTTTTCTAGGATGCCCAACATAGTGCATTGCGGTCTAGCTTCGGTACCAACATCTTTTGTTCATCATGCCATGGTGTTGTTTGTACCCAATCTAGACCACAATGCATCCTGTTTATCAAACTTTGAAAAGTCATATACTGTTAACTCTTTTAAGAAATTCTTTTATCACTTCAGTGAAACAGCTGCAATCGTTGTCCTATTTCACAGTGGTTATGACATGATATGAAAATCAATCTTTCACGAGACTGAGGAACAAAACTGCAAAAAAATAAAATAAAAAATAATAATTTGTAGAGTGAAGTCATTAAACCCGTGAAATAGATATTAGACAAAGGCCTAGGGCAAACGTCAAACTTTCCATGCACTGAACTCATTAAAAACAATGGATATCAGGTGATGATGAGGCGGCATTCTTTGATGTAATTAAGTTGCATGGAAAGTTCAATGTTTGCCCTAGGCCTAATACACGTTAGTAGACCTTAATTCCATTGTCTTCCTTTGTGTTTATTTGACTATTATTTTTTATTTCACGGGTTATATGCCTTTACTCTAAATGAAAATTTTAAACAATGTTTTTTTAAACAGTAATGATGAAAAGGTAAATTATACACCGTGAAAAGATGAAAAAACTTACTGACGTTTCGGACGCTAGTCCTTCGTCGGAGTAAAAGAAAATATTGATATTTTTTTAATATCATTTGACCACATGAAGACAAGACTCATCAATTCTTATTATTATAGACAAAAACATTATTATGTTTTAAAACAGAATGCAAATAAATATCTGTAACTAAAATTAATGAATCTTGATAATAATTTACTACCAATCTAGGCTTTTTGTGTCTTCCATTGATCTAGGAGTTTTGGATCTGAATGTACTTAGTTTTTTATTTGTATGTTCCATTGTATTATTATATTCCTAGTATTTATCTTGGCAGTTTTTCTTATACTGTCACATCAATGTCAATTTCACTTCTAAAGTGTTACCAGTAAAGAAGTAAATAATACTCAAGGAATTGGATGGTATGTGGTCACTGGGAAAACACTATCGATCCTGATTTTTTTTAAAAAAAAAGCAATATGGTAAAACATTATTTTTAAGAGGAAAATAAATAATACTCAAGGGTTTGTTATCCTGAGTAGGGATCTGTGAAGGGGACTATTTGCTGCCCCCTTTTATACCCTGTGTACCCCTAAATGAAAGCTGTTTAGATAGTCCTTTTTAGCTTTGTTGTGCACTCAAATCATGTGATGGCAGTTAATTCTTTATTTCATGTGTAAATATTTTAACGTTCGTCATAAGAGAACAATTATCAAGGGAATGTTATGTGATCTGGAATGGGCAATATGCATACGAATCTAAAAAGGTCTATTTAGACTGAGTTGCTAAATGATTTGATGTCTGGCTGTCTAGATATACTTAAAATGATGAAGCCTGATATCTAGTTTAGCACAGATCTAATAGTTTACTGGCCAAAAATTTGTCATTTTAGGACGAGAGATCTTAGAAACTTTTCTGTCTGACACCATTGTGCACTGTGTGGTTTCACTGTATTTTTGGGTTATGAATTCATGTCTGGAAAATATGGTAATCGTTTTAAAGCGCTTATATATAAATAATAGGTGGTCTTCCAACACTTCTATGTTGAATCACTGAACCTTTTAGATGCTAGCAGAGTAGGTATTTAAACGTCACTAGGGAAAGAATTGATCGAAAGAATACCTAATAAAGCAAAATTATTAACTTAAAGAATATCATGCAAATAAATAGCCTAGAATGTTTTAAAATTCATTTCTTTGTAATTAATGAACTCGAGTGTTTGGTAACATCTGGTTCAATTGTTGGCGTTGCTACTCTCATTTTGTAGTAGAAATTTGGAACGCTCTCGAATTTCCTCGCATAAATCCCTTTACTTTCATTCTTCATTGTTTTATTTTAGACCCGAACTTCAGGATAATTTGAATCCTTTAATTTTGAGTGTTCTCTCGGACTTCTAACAATGACAGATTTCCCTTTATGTTCTATCAATAAGCGAGGCAGTTCTCCATTAGGTCGTTTCTCAAACGAAAATCGAACGTACGATCCACTCAACTTGGCCGCCGGTTTATTCTGAATGGCTTGCCAGTATTTTATGCATTTTGCTTGACTAACAGCGATGAAGCTCTGAGGCAATCCAGCAATAGGAATAATCGTCTCAATCCAAGTGCTTATTTTGGCAATTCCAGTTTCTTTATCGAATTGTATAGGGTCAAGTTCAAGCAATTCTCCAACAATTTTGTCGTAGTCTACGTCGCTGTCTGCTGTGTAGCGAGCATATCTTGGAGGCGCAGAAGAGTGGTTACAGTGACAACAAGAGCAATTTGTCCAACAAGAGCAATAAAGCCCACTACAAGCTTGTCCCATTTTTGAAGTGCACTCTTTCAAAGTATTTTCATGGTTATTCTCTTTTATACCAGCGGTTTGGTGTACTGCGGGCTCATTGCATTCTCCCAAGCCCATCCTCTCCACGACGAAGCATTTAGAATCTGTTTCCCGTCTGAGGGATTAGTTATGGACTTACACACATTTATCCGGTTTAGTTTAGAAGTCGACTTATTGTTTTCTATGGGAATCGCAACATCTGGTCGTTTATAGTCTTGCTTGTACGTTAACCACAGGTAGCCCAAACACGCTTTTTTTATCAGATACAAAACAGCATTTCAATGTCGCAACAGCTTGTGTAGACATTGAAAACATGTGAAAAGAATCAAATGTGAAGCTTTAATCACTTTTTTCAAAAAAATCCCTAAAATCGACGATTTTGTAATTTTTGCTATTTGCGCGCGCGGGTAGCCTGGTACAGAAAGGCAAGATCGAGCTTTATCGAGCGCGTTTTTATTACGTCACAATTGTAAAACTTAAACTTTAAAAAAATTGAAATCCAAATCACATCAGTGAGTAAGCGGAGTATGATAGTTGCTGAACAACGATCAGGTTAAAATTTTATCGATATTCTGATCCTTATCAACAACATCTGGGCTGATCACAGTCAGAGCAAACAACCACCGGGCTGATCTAAGTCAGGGCACGGCTAACTCACACATCTAACCCTTAAACATCCTCTTGGCTGATCAAAGTCAGGGCACGACTAATTCCCAGATCAAATCGTATTTAAGCTTGTTAGGTTTTGCAGATGGATGAAAACCCTCGAATCAAAAGAAAAATATAACATACTCTACCATATGTCGAGTCTAGGAATCGAACTCGAGGACCTATGAGTGCACTCAGCTACACAGATTCGCTCAGTTTGCTCAGCCGTCTACTGCATGTTGCGCAAACCAAGAAACCCACTTCCTTTCGGTTTGACAGTTATTTATAAAGTTAAGTGTTAATCTTTTCTTTTTATTGTTGCTGGTATTTCTATGATTGACAGAGTACAAAAATATGAATGTAATTCCTATAACATTTATATACCAGACAAAAAACTACATTTACGCAATGATAACCAAGTCTGGTTTTCACTGGTACTTTCGTTACCCTAGTACTTGCGTTAGGAAATCTTTTTATGAAAAACTAACACTAGTTTGAGTTTAGGGATGGCTCACACATTTACAGTGGAGAGCATTTTCTTAATGGAGCAATAATATGAGGGGAAGACGTTCTGATCAAATTGCCCTTTTAACAAGAAGATTCTATAAGGTTAGTATTTTCTTTGTTTATCTAACGACCTGGCAGTGGTTCATTGACGAGAGAACAGTGAAGAGTGAGGAGACGCTTGATTCGACGAACGAGAACCCGGATGAATCCGACACGCGTCCTGTCTTTACCGTGGTTCTAGAGAAATGAATAAATAGAAGTGTCATAAAAGAATTAAAATGTCAAAAGAGGAAAAAAGTAATGATTTCCTTTCAACAGACCCCTAAAGTGTAAATTCAATATATATATTACTCATTTCAAGCTACTCTCTACTTATTTGGGAATCTTTTTTTTCTGTATAAAAGCTGTATACGATTAATGAACATTAATGTCACTCAAGCGAGCTCTCAATAGCTCCCTACTTCCAAAATAGAGCGGTTCCTTCAGTCAAAGATTTATTGGCTCAGTTTTATACGAACTCATTTGCTGATCAGCTGAATATGTTATTATGTAAAATTAAAGCAGTCACAAAGACTTTTAGAGAACACTTTTGAGAACACTCATTTGAACGAAATATCATTACCTGCTCCAGATCAACCATTTTTTTCAGCAACAGGTCAGTTAGACAATTCGAGGCTTCTTGTTTAAGCTGATAAAAAAAATATTGTTTTTGAGTTACGATATGTCTATACTAACAATCAAACTCTGGGCACACTCTAAGTTCAATATCCTTCCCCTTTCCCGTAAAGTCCAACTATTTTTCTTATTATTTTGACAAGAGAGTATTACTTCATATTCCCTTGCTTTGATAATGATGTCAGAGACATCGAAACGTCAGCTTTTTTCATTGCCTAGTCTGTACTGTTAAAAGAATCATAATCATCATGACAAATCAAGTGTTGCGTTACCGTTTCTATTTCGTCACGAGTCACGCCATCGCTGATCGTGGTTGTCTGTTCGTGGATGGATGAAGCTGCGGATACGTTTACAGAAGTTGACCATTCTGAATAAAAAGAAAGGAAAATAACAACGGGATTAATGAATGGGATGAATAAAAGACGAACATGTCCAACGCATAGGATGATGATTAACGTCTGTACCGTGAAGTTTTCTCATTCTTCCTGTCACGTGACCACCATGTAAGATGCTGTGTTCCTCGTCCGATGGGATACAGTGAAGAAAATAGAAATCAAGATGGCGCCATAAGATAAACAATGAGTTCTCGATGATATCTTGAAAAAAGTCAAGGAAATACATTTTGTACAATTTATGGAATAGCAACAACAACAACAACAACAGCTCACTTTACAAATACTAAAGAAATTTCCGGGTACCATTTCTTTTTCTTATGCGCATAAGCGAGGAAGACTGGGCACAAAGCATGCGCGCGCAAATTTATGACGACACAATTAGGCTTTTTCAACATCAAAAAAGTTTGATCTTCTGCGCTTCACTTCGGCTACGAGTAAAGATCTACAACTTTCATGGAAAATCTATTTGTGACCTTTCTGCATAAGATATGGTAAGTTTTGTTAGTACTTTCTTTAGGATTCATTATCCATCTTGGAGGAACGTATCATCGTTTTCGCAAGATTTTCATCCGCCGTATCTCCGCCGGAACAGACTAGCTGCTACCTATGACAGGTCGAGAAAGCAAAATGTTTGAAAAAGATACAAAGATGTGTCTCAATTTCTTGTGTTTTGTAGTTGACGATCTGGCTGAGGCACTTTTGAGCCATCTGTTGCCTTTGGTGTGTGGATATCTTTTCTTGTGGACCAATGGTGCTTTGTAGTTGAATAACCTGAAAATAATGAAAAAAATGAAGGATTTTAGTGAAGTCCTTAGTTTTCTCTCAAATCTCTTGAAATTGGCCACCGAAAGTTTATGTGTACGCCTGGAAGTCGATCCGACAGTGGACAAATATCATTGACAAAATCAAGGTAACCCTGAGACCAGTTATTAAGAGAGGATGTCAGCAAAAATCGACCATACGCCGGCAACAGCCGAAAAATCGAATTCGTTCATATTTTGGTATTAGGAATACCTTGATGCGATATAAACCGTGGTATACTTCATTTGCCAAAATATCGCTTTATTTCCGAGAAAAACGAGAAAAACAAATTCGTGCATAATTGACTCTCTGAGAGAGTCAAAATATACTCAAACTTTGGGGGCCTCGCGCGCCTTTGCAAAAATATCTACAGACTCAATCTTGGGAAATTATTTGGGATAGTGTTTTAACATTAAAA